GCGAAAACAGGAAAGGTATATCGGGTAGAGAATTTAAAAGGCATCTCAGCACTTATTTTGTCATAATAACGTCATTCAAATCCTGTCATTCCATAAACCATGCAGCGATTGAAGCCAAGAAATTACAATCGCCGAGGCGCTCATATCTGGCGTTCGTGAGCACAATTTCCAGATATAATGGCCGTCAATTGTTCTCAATCAATGTTATGAGAGATGCGATGACGCCATCAAACCACAACCCATTGAGGAGCATATTTACTAGACAGATCATTATGCTATCCAGAGCAGTCTTTCCACTCAAAAGCATACCAATAGTAATACGTGATCTTGTTTCCATCATACCTGATATTTACTTCAAAATCTTCAAATGTGAAATATTCCCTTTAACCGGAACAGACATTTTGAGGGGAGTGTTCCACATTTATACGTGTTTTCTTACTGGCATAGCCATTTTGAAAAGTATGGTGCAATTCACAATCCTGCCCTGGAGACTCTGGCTAGGTCACCCAGGCATCCATGACGCCATAATAGCGTCATACATAGACTGTCATTTCATTGGTCATGCAGTTATCAAATTCAATAAAAATATACGTTGTCGTTTCGTTCATATTTGGTGCTCACGATGCCATTTTCAGACAAAACAACCGTCAACCTGCTCTCGACCCATGTCTTGGAAGGTAAGCTGACGTAATCAAGCAATGTCGTAATGAGGAGCATATTTACTGATCAGTGAAAACTCGTTGTTAGCAGTGTTCAGCCTTAAAAGCAGACCAATAGTTACAAGTGAGCTTTTTCATCACATTTGCTACTTGCTTTCACATCTTCAAATGTGAAATACCACCCTTAATGGCCGTCTTGTGCTATTTTTCATGGCTGTGCCCATGATCGAGAAAAAGTGCACTCACTTCAACATTCTTGCTCGCTGTCATACAGCACCAAATGCAGAAACGTCAGCAGCAAATTGGCTTTCAGTCAATTTTTGTAATTGAATCCATGTCTCAATCACGAAAGACGTTTCATCTGATGTTAGCTCGACTTTTTTAAATGTGAAAGTCCCTTTAGGCTGTTCCATTGTCAGCCTCACGCCCGTCATATCTAAAAGTTGCCCTAATATTTTGTAATGAGACGCCAAGTATTTCACTAAAGCTTCTCTGTATTTTAGTCTCGCACCACAGCAGCCCCTGACCGTGTACCTACCCTCTCTGCTCTCCCCACGGCGACTCTAGACAGCGGGGGCCGCGAGCCGGGGCCGGCCTGCGAACCTGACACTCGACACTGCGGCGGCGGCGCGCCTCCGCCGTGCCCCCGCCCCAGGAGTGGCGCAGGCACGAAGTACAACTGCACTACAAACATATTTGTTGCGGCAAATCGCGGTTCGTGACCTAGGCATGCATTTGACTGTCAGCCAATTGACCTCTGTCGTTGGGACACTTGGTGCTGCAACACTGCAAGCACGAATGTTAAGGTGTCCATATTTCGCTTGACCATGAGCACAACACAGCCAGTGAGGTGAGGGTGTTTGCGTGACATCACTGTGACGTCATTCATGCCTGAGTGAATTCCCAATGGCGGCTCGCAAAAGGCAGCACAAGTTTGCGAACCTCAAACACAGAATTAAGAGGATTTTAAGCATTAAAAATGGCATGGGTATAAAATGATGAGAATGATCACGAAAATTACCGTCTCAGTTCAAAACCCACGCAAAAGTGTGTCAATCCACCAAGCTCATGGTATTACGGCCGAAAACATAACACAGATTGGTACCTTTTCGGTTGTTATGGATTTGTCGGCGATGAAAAATCTGTTTTTGTCCCGGAATTCTCAGGCTGGTTGCGAAAGCTAAAATCTGGGAAACTTTTGGGTAATATGCTTCTTATCCATTATCACACAAAATATATTGGATTCCTTGATGAGTATGTTTAAGAGTAATATATCTGCACATGTCAGGCCGAATTTGAATTTGTGTGAGCTATCATTTCATCTGCATAATTTGTGGTCAGACAGAGATGTGCGCTGAGTGGCAGTACCGTTTGCAACAAAACCACGTGCTTTTTGAAACACCCTATAACTGTACTTAAGTAGGCAGGTGATGCAATGGGTCATATGGTACATGCAATGACCCAGGAACATATCAGTTTGACTCATGCAATGGATCATACTGTTTTGTTTTGTTTTTTACACCCAAAGGACGCATATGGAAAGAAAAATGTACGGCTGCTGGATGGGAACGCAGCGTCAGCAATTTATTTTGTACCGAATGATGTCTATGCGGTAAAAACAGATATTACGAGTGCTCTGGTTCAGCAAGTGTCATGCTATTCTCAGATGCATTTTACATTATTTTTGACCAGCGGCCGACAGGGAAACTTTTAACAATACAAAGATATTCATGTCAAATGCAGTTCTTTTTCTGGCGGTCAGTTTTTTAGGTTTACGCAGGTCGTTTCTTGTCCATATGAGGCATTCACTACACTCACTAACCGTTTTAATTCGTCCTGCTTTACAGACCCGCATCTGCCTGTCCTGAGCCTGTATTGCCACCCTTGCAAGGCGCGAAGCGAAGTCGACAACGAACCATGCGCTGCACGCCGCGCCACCACCGTGCAGCGCATGGTCCGTCACAGCTGTCAGCGGCGGCGGCGGCGGCGGCGGCGGGGCGGGGCAGGACGGGGGCGGGGCGAGCAGCTCCCAGACCCACAGCTGTCAGCGGCGGCGGCGACGGGGCGGGGCGGGGCGAGCAGCTCCCAGACCCACAGCTGTCAGCGGCGGCGGCGACGGGGCGGCGCGAGCAGCTCCCTGACGTCACCCTTTCATTCGAGGACGCGTGCAGATGGCGCAGGACCTGCACGTGCTCTGCGTACGAGCGTTCACGGCGGCAAAGAATGGGGGACAGACACTGAGCGGCATCGACCAGCGCGAAGAGGCCCGCGCCGTTCACATGCACTGGTTCAGATCATGGCGTTGGCACGCGTCATTAGCTTCTAGCTGACGTCACATAGAGTCATGGAGAGCGCGCGAGAGGAAGTCGTTGTTCGCACACATGTGCGAAATGGAGCGACCTACGCAAGTCGATTTCTCTTGCTTTACTGCAGGGCAACTCCAATGCACTGGTGAGATGATCTCCATTTGGCAACATTTGGGCATATGGCAGTGGCGAGTCCGACCGGCACGGATGAGACAAAAAAGAGGGCGAGTAAATAGCAGATACGGGGCGTACTTTCGCGAAATGGGTAAGGCGGGCTGAACCGTGAAAGTTATGAAACTAACCCCCAAAATTTGCCAACAAACAGGTTTCTCCTCGGATTTGACTCAGTTTTTCCTTAACCTGGGGAAGTGAAAGCACAAGTTAGGAGCCTGAGGCCCCAGCTAAATATATATATATATATATATATATATATATATATATATATATGCATTATGTGTGTATGTGTGTGTGTGTGTGTGTGTGTGTGTGTGTGTGTACACACCAATAAAGCCTCATCTATTTAAAGCCTCACCTGGTAGGTTTCCAGGCCTCTCAGATCGGGGGTCCTTTGGGCTGGCGGAACTGTCTGTGCGTTGCCTTGCCATGGGGATCCAGTGCTTCCGTCCGATGGAGTCCCTTCGGATCATCCGTGGACCATGTCGACCAAAGCGGCCTGATACTGGCTATCTAAGGCTTCCTATGGGGACGATTGGTCTCCTGCGTGCATTATAGACCTTTCTTTTTATTTGATGGGTGTTCTGTCTTGGCTGTCCGGATTCTGTCGGCGATTTGAAGCCCTAAGGATTTTAAATAAAGCAACACATTTTCCCTAGATAGGATATGGTAAGGCGCCCAGGTCACTTGGCCCCAGCGCTCACAGATAGGCTTCGCGTTCTGGGGCTCAGTTTCCAGCGAAGCGAAAGTACCGGGTGGTGGCGCCGTCTGACGGCACGTGCAGATGGCGCTGCTTTGCACAGCGTGGCCAATGGAATGTTGGAGCTTTGCGCAGTGGGTGAGTAAGGCAGGAACTTTCCTTTGAATATTCTACAGCACGCGTGATCGCCAGTCCTGTCTTAGCGTTAAAAACGTGCAACGCCTCATATAGTTTCGGAAGGGTCAGTAAAATGACTATCCAGTCGAAACGTTTTACGATTGAAGGACAGTTCAGGAGCCAACGCTGAGGGGCATGTTGAAAGATTGGAATGTGCATGCTGGCATCTTCAGGGCTTTCGAGACAGAGCGTGCGGGAAACGAGATGATTGGTGGAGGGAAATAATCAGTCCCACCAGTCCAGTCCAGCCTTTCAGACGAACATCCTTTTACGGACGATGCGCCTAACCGATTTTCCACTAGCGCCAGGCTGCGTAATTTGTAGCTCGAGAGATGCAATGACAACGCGAACTGCACCAACATCACTGACTCGAGAACCCTTTCCACGGCACACTACATTCCACCCAGTCCTGTCCATGCCGTTCTGGTAACCTACCAGAGGTATGGAAACGTTGCTTACATTTTCCCAGCCACACCTGAACGACACTCGCCTAACCAACGCATGCTGTCCACGCACCGTCGTCTAGCGTCTTAGTCTCTGGACTATCAGCCACTTGTTGCGGTCTTTTTATGAGTTCCGTGGGTGTGTTTACGTGCTGTTCTGTCATCTGTCACAAGGACGCGCATGTTGTATTTCAATTGTTGGTCATTTAGGTAACATACAGCAACATATTGTCAAACATGCGATCGGTTCAAATTTGAGAACCACTATGGCCGGCATTTTGAAATGGTTGATGGCAGCGCCCTGAATGGAGGTATCGATTCTTGAAGGCTGAGATAAAAACCGTGAGAATGCCTGAAATACCTCATGCATGGGGTAAAAATACTTCGAGGAGGTGATATGAATTCTTATTAGTGAGTGTCTTGTGTTATGAGTTAATTTTTGCGTTGACAAACGCGGGAAAAATAGTATTACTATGATTGGGTTTTCAACTGTCGCCCATATCGATGTCAGATCCTCGATCTTCTAGCCGTGCGACGGCCGACTCCACCGCCTGGAGCGATCTACCAAGTGCGAATCCCCGGGTTGTGGGGGTGTTGCGTGCGGCGTTACCCCTAGGATACCGTTTCGTTTCTTATCGTGGCTCTCAAGAAATGTTTCCAAATTTTAGATGGCCGTGATTGCAATCACCCGACCAGCGGCCTCCCCGGGCCGCCATTTTGGCTGACGTAGAGAAACAAGGGATTCTGGCCGGTTGTGCGCTGTCGCGCGGTTTCGGTCCGTGGAGTGCGGACGTGGATCGTTACGCGGTAGCGTCGGAGGCCGCGGGAGGAGAAACACAAGTGATCATCGTGTGGGTGAGAGAGTGATTTTGTGCGGTTATGGGTGGTTGAGTGAGCCGTGAAGATTTGGGGTGGCAAGCTTCTTCGCGCTGTGCCGTCTCCGTAGACGATTGCGTGCGGACGCCTGGCGCATGTCTGTGGAAGATCCCTTCGATGGATGTGATTCCTGTGTAATTTTGGCTTTGACTATGTATTCTTTTCATTGTTAGTTCTCGAATACTTAGTCATGGCACAGCTTCTGAATAAAGATCCGGCAGTGTACAAGAAGGAGGCGGAAGCATTCTTCTCTGACCTGAAGGGTTTCCATGGAGGCAGAGGGTGAGTGTTTGAAGTTTGTTATGCATATTTTTTATTTGCTCTGGCCTAGTTAATTACAATATCATGCATTTGCTTTTACACAAGAATTTCAGCATGTATTGCACTTCCCACAGTTTTCTAGAGGGTTGATTGATGGATGATAGGCACTGCCTTCCAGCATTGTGTGGAACACATTAACATAATCCTGATGCACCATGCGGTGAATTTGGAATGGTGGCATGTCAGAACCATGACAGGATGTCAAATTTGTGCATTGCTGTCTGGATTGTTTTTTTTTTCAAACACTGGCTTATGCATTATTCTGAATTAAACTGGGGCTATTGAATAATTGCTTTAAGGTTATTGAGTTTATGTTACACAAGCGTGCAAGATAGTATGGGAGTTAAAAGAAGCATAAGTTAGATGAAGTGGTTTTGCCTTTCAGACCCCTTGTTATATGGACACACACCTTTTTAAGCTTTTGATAGATTTCATGCATGCCTTATGATGGATTGCAAATGGTGATTATCAACAGTCAGCTTTGTTTAGCATGTCATATTTTGTTGTGGCAGGCCTGTGCTAGTTTTGGTGCCTTGGGGCACTTACTTGTTAACAGTTTGGGCATATTCCTAAAATATGTATCCCACTTCAGACTTGGCATATTTTTGTAGGCAGGCTTTCATATTGCCCATAATGTATTTTTTTCTTTAAATTAGGAATGTGGGCTGTGTAGTAGACATGGGATCCATTAGTGTATATCAGGCTGTTTTGATTGCATGAGGAATACTGCAACTTTTAAGAATTAAAGAATGATCCACTAGTGGACATCATACAAGTCCAAGTCATCAGTTATTGTGTTTACAGGGGATTTGCACCTTTGTTTAAGAATATCACTGAACTGATACTGGTTGTGATGGCAGAAACATTGGTCTCCTTGCTTCTTTAGGTGTGATCAGTGCTGTTAGGCATGGAATATCTTTGGCTCTGAAATAGGTCTTGTATGCCTGGAAAGTTACCAATTTCTATGTTGTGTTCACATTAGCATGTGCTTGTGAAAAGTAATATGTAAATAAAATGTGGAATATGAATAAGATGGCATGTAGCAGTGCTTACAGCTTGAACTAAAAAAGTTGTTGATGCACTGGCCAAGTTCCTTTCAACATGTGGCTTCAAGTGATCATTTATGGCAGCTTTTTAGGCATAGTATACTGCTTCAAACAAATGTATTGTTATCCACCAATATTTGTATTCCATAGTATAAGCAACTGAAGCAAACAATGTTTTCCTTTTCCTGATTGGTCCCAACTGCACTTTCTGGTCAGCTGACATCAGTATTTTGTAGCTGAGCAGTCCAGTGACATGCTCGATGAAAGACTGCACATCCTTCCTCATTGGTTCGGTGTTTGAATGCAAAGTATAATATGCTTTTATTTTGGGTCATTTTGCACTGTAGGATGAAGCTCTGGCTGAACTCATCTAAGATTGGTATAATACAATGAAGACAAGTATGGCCCTAGGTACAAGGATGTCATATATAATCAAGAAGCATTCCACCTTTTCCTCATGATGGGTGTTGGGTGCAAAATGACGCTAGAAGTTGACATGCCCGAAAATCCCAATCATCATCATGATAGGTGCAAAATGACCACCACAGTCCATGCCCTCCTCTCCCCCCCCCCCCTCCCCCCCACAAGAAAACAAATAACAAAAAGCTGCTGTGGTTCCTGATGGCAGAAATTATCATGAAAAGCCATCTGGCATATATGGAGTGATTTTGTTGAGGTACAGATAGTGCATTGGTTGAGCTGCCACCTGGGAAACCGGAGGTACAGGGTTTGATGCCCTGCAGTGCCTGCCCCTGCCACTGGGGTGAAAGGCAGGCAATGCCATATAGCATCAGCAGCTGGGTGTGTCATAAAGTACCAATGGTGGAGTTTTTAAATGGGGCAGGCTGCTTTAGTAGACCACAAACCCATTGCAAAGTTCAGTGTTGAACTTCAGACAGCAGTGGTTTGACAGTTGTTTTCATGGGTGTGTATTGTTAACCATCAGTGTGTTTCTAATAGGAATTAGCAGTAAGTCAGCTGTGAACCTATTAAGACGTTTTGTGAGTTGTGTACAAGTTGTGTCATGCCCGAAGGCAACGTTAGCCGGAATGCAACGTGTTGCCCAGTGACATTGATTGTGACGTGGTGGGCATCACAAATAACGTGCCTGTGACCCCATTCAGGTTAGCGGCAGTGTTGCTTTCATTGAGTCGGTTGTGAAAGCAAAGTGGCCTGAAGGAGAGGAATGCCACTTCTGTCCAATATTCTGTGCTGTCGCTCGTATTTTCGTGTCTTATATTACATGCTGTGCAATAATCGATAGTTGCTGCTGGCACTAAAACATAGCGTAGCTTCGTAGTCTGCCGAAATATCTCCATTCGATGCCAGTTCAATTTTGAGACGGACGTTGTGATGTTTCAGAACGGCCTTTCATCGGACTCCAAAGATCGGGGGAAGAGATGTGGACCTGTATCTTCTGTACGTGCTTGTGACAACTCGAGGAGGGTGGGAAAAGGTAAGGAGGGCATTGTTTACGCATGATGAAGAAGATGCACTTCTACTTTTAACAAAGATTGCCATCAACGTTGGTTTAAAAATGGTTCAAAATAGCCGACTTGGTGCTACCTTAACGCGTTTGCCTGCCAATTGTGGCTCAGCTTGAAAATGCACAAACTTGTGCATTATGCATGTTGGATTATTGCGGTCAAAGCAAAAGTAAGATCGTCATAGAAGGAACTCATATATTCCAAAACGCAAATACGGTCCAAGCGATAGCTGAGTGGGTGGTCTTTCATTCATCGCGCCTTCCACAACACTAAGTAGTGACCGGTGCAGTGTGACCGATGATGGTGAAGTAGTGAACATGTGTTCGCGGCTGTGGCTTACACTGGTGGTAACATTGATCAATTTAGCTCCCCATGACTGGTTTGGGAGCATGCTAGTTATTGTTTGACAGGAAAATAATGCATTGCGCCTGAAGTATCGGACGTCAGGCGTCCAAAGGTTGTGATGAACTGTAATTCTGTGCTTTACGTCAGGCGAAATCCGTCCATTTATATTGCCTAGCATCGAACTGCAGCTCACAAAGCTCCCTTTTTGCGTCAAAAATTGGCGTGGAAGATGAGATGTGTCGTTGTATCGCCAGCTGCACGCGGTGGAATGCCTGCTGGATGTTCAGTGTGTGGATCCACAGACAGGCCATGGTGCTATCAAGTTACGTAGTATCTTTCGTCCGACGATTTAGTATTATTCCCGACGCGTCATGCAAGCATCGCGAATTGTTATTTTACGGAATTAAAAAGACAAAATATAGCAAAAGGTGCTAAAATATAGCGTTTAAGTGCGGGTTAGGTGTTACCAACAATTTTCCGTCAATTCTCCCAATTGGCGAGCGTTCTTTCATCACCGCTGACCTGAAATTGGGCGAGAAAATACTATCGGTGATCGGAAATGAATTTTATAAATTCTTAGGCTGTCGTGAGGATGGACAAAATGCCAATGTGAACAAATGCAGCATCCCGAACGAATGCGATCAAAGTCGGTATGAACGAGCGCAAGCGTTTGAGCTTGCGAAAACGAGCGAGCAAGCAAAACGAGAGAAACGAGCGCAAACAAGCAAGCAAGTTTCGGTGGAATATGAACTTGTACTGCTGTAGTATGCGCATAGACATCGATTGGACAGATGTGGCTGAAATGGTAGATATTTAGCGATATGGACGCTGTGGTCGGGAAAGTTTTCGGTGCTGTACATTGTTACAAGGACTTTTTCGTGTGGCTGCACGCAGTCTCACACACCTCTGTTTGACTTCACACACCTCTGTTTGACAGGCGCCGGTCCACTCGGCGCCGCACCTTCGTGTCTGATAGGGGGTTTGGGCGCGATGAATACAGTTCTGTTTTGAGGAATAGAGTGCTGGGTTCGATCCTGAGCTGGTGTATATTTTGCTGGTATGGACGCGAGAACCCATGCGAGGGCTTGATGTCACCGTTATTACATACACCAGATGGTAGGAGATTCGAACTGAATTTTTGCAGTTTTTTTTTCTCAAATAGGCAGTATATTCCCGGTGTGGAGCCGCACACCGTCTTGGTAAATTTCGCCATCGTGTCATGAATAATTTTGCAATGATTCAAGGAATCAGCTTCAGTACATTCTCTTAATGCTGCGGGCCAGTTTTTCATCTCAAGAGATTGCACTCGGCCTGCATTTAGACTCGGCCTGCATTTCTTTCAAATGTACCTGAAGAAACTGATCCGGTGCACATAGTCTGGCCAGCAAACTGTTGGCCAGAACCTCCTCACCCCAAAAACTGTCGCCGTCTGCAGGCTTGTTTTCCGCTGGAGAGGAGCCATCTTCTTTTTGAGCGTGTTTAGGTTTATAGCGTTTTTCGGCTTCGTATGTCGGCGATCAGAAGGCGTCCGTTGCGGCATGCCATTAAACGACTGAATGAAGTGCAACTCAGTCTAAACCGCTCTAGACTGAGTCACGAGTTTGATTAGTTTTAAAACATCCCATGGCTGGATGCCAAAGGGAACAGATCATGTAAACCAATGTAAATGTTTAAGTGAGGCTACCTCCTTTCAGCAGACATTAATGTACGTATCTTGCCCAGGTATAGTGCAGTTGTTCATTATGTTCGGTTTATGCAAGGCTTTGCGCCCGGGTAGACAGGTGTGGTGCGCCTTGTTCCAGGCCCCTGGTTGCGGCTGCTTGAAAGAGCAATATTTGCACGGGTGCTAGGTTCACTTCTACTGGACAGGAGCGGGTAGCAATGCTGCGCCATATATTCGTATAAGACGTGATGGAAAATTCATAACATTGTCTGTTTTTGGAACGATGTGCGTCGCAGTGTTTGCAATAGTATTTCGAGGGTAGCTAGGAATAAAAGAAAAGGTAACGCAACACAAATGATAATTGATGCTACCTGTGAAAGCAAAGAAGGCTGCGGAATCGTTTTTTGAAGCATGGGAACGCCACGAATCCGCAGTGAAGTCGATTTTGAGGTGCAAGCACTCTGCATGGAGTTTTAGTAAAGAAGTTCATGTGCCATACATTGCGTCGATGCTGCAGTTGAGGGCAAGCGCTGTTAATATTGTGTGCCTTTGAACGCGGCTGAAATCGCTGACCCGCCTGATCCGTTTTTGATGGCGCGGTCGGTGGCCTCCTGGAGATCTGGCGTTTCGTACGGCCATGCCCACGGGCACTGTCCGTCCCGGTTCCCGCGCCGCCGGATCGCCCCAGCCCTCCCGGCCGTGGCTGCGCGCGCCGGCGCGCCGCCCGCCGGCCGCGGCGAGGGCGCGCCGCCACCACGTGGTGGCCGGTTGCCGCCCACCTGAGCCGGCGGACCCTGGCCCTGAATCGGCGGGACTCCCCCGAACAGCTGACCGGCCGGCCGGCCGGCCGACGACACGCCGCCATTGAGAGCTCGGCGCACGGGGAGAGAGCGCGCGCGCGGGCGCGGGGCCCGGCCGGCGGCGACGCGACGCCCCGCGGCCCGGCCCGGCCGGCCGCCGGGGTAGAGGCGCGCCGGCCGCCGTGCGCGCGCACTCTCGGCCCGGCCGCGCCACACGTCGGCCACGGAGCCGTGCTGCGTCCGGCCGGTCGCACGGCCCAGTGCGGCCGGCCGGTCGAGCCCTACGGTACCTGCCCACCCTGCTCCGATACACGTCCGCTCCGGTGTCGTAACTGGGCTTCATGCGCATAAGTTACACGGTCCCGGAATTCGTAGGTCGGGGAAGAAAAAGGCACCCAGCCGATCATTCTTTGAATTTTTTCGTTTGTTTTAGTGTCATCGCTGAACTTGATCATGAACTACAATGAATTTTCTGAAAGGAGCAAGCTTGCTCCACCTGTCAAATAGATTTTTCGATACCATGATGATCGATCCTGCCAGGTTTTTGCCAGCTTCTGTAGATCAAGTGTATCCCGAAACAGACCTCTACGAAATGTTAAGGCGTGTGCCTGTCATAACTGGCACCCGGTGTTTCTAACCCTTCATGTCATGACCGCATCCAAGCTTCAGACCGGCGCGACCTGGAGGCTGATGCACCTCAAACTCCCTGCCACTCACTGCTCTTGTGAATGCGTTAAGTTCTTCGATGCGCCAGTAGCATTCAAAGTTTGGAAGGCCGGGTTTTCGAAAGCAGGACCGCGTCGCGTAATTTTCGGATGCTGGTGTTCCGAGACGGACCATAGCTGGGACTGCGGCCAGTCTTAGCGCTGGAGGTGGCCGGTGGGACCGATCGCGTGTCTGGCCCATCTTGCATGAACTTTTCGCTGGCTGCCGTTCTGCATCGGACACAGCTCCTGGCTCGAAACTACCCGTTGTCAAGCCTGTTACACCCGACTTAAGCGATTGCGGTTGCTTTACCGACCGGTAGGCGGACCGCAAAACAGATTTATGTTTGACGTCTTATCGACTAAGTGGTATCATTTCGTCGGTCCCATGAGTCACTCCTCGGCGTCAATTTCTCGGCCCAATCCGTCTCCTGGCGCCGGCGTGCGCCGCGACTGCCGTCTCTCGCACGCCGCTGTGCCGGCCTGGGCCCGCGCGTGCGCGATGGGCCGGCGCTGGACGTGGGGGTCGGACCAGCCGCTGACCGTGGCGGCCGGGACGAGCCGGTGCCGTGCGGGTCACGTTCGCCGACGTCTTGCACGTCGGGCGGCCGCCGACCCAGCGCCACGGCCGGTGCGGCTGGCGCTCAGCCGGGAACCGGTCGGCGCCGGTCCCTGGCCCCGGGCCCCGGGCCCCGGGCCCCGGCGGCCGGGCGGCCCGGGCCCACCCGTGGGAGGGGCCGCTGTGATCAGTTCAGCCATCCGCAACTGCAGCTGATCGATGTCGACATCGCTCCCTGCGCCGTGAGCGCCGGACGGGCCAGGTGCTCTTTGAAGGCTAGGTCGGATGCCCAAGTCGGATGCTTGCGAGAAGTTCGCGAGACTAACCCGTTTACGGTCCGCTCGCCCCGCCTGCGCAAATGGCGAGCGGCGTCATCTGTAGCTGCGTTGTTTGGAACCGGTCCGTGTCGGCAGGATGCGGTCATGGACTGACGGGTTGGCTGTTCAGGCGGGGAGGGGGGTTGATGGCAATCGGCTCTGAAGCGGCACGACATTGGCCGTGGTGAGGTGATCCACATGGCTTGGGCGTCGACGCGGCTGTCTCTGCTCTTTGCCCTTCACATCAGGAATTGGAGATGTAACTGTATACACATGAGGAAGGCTATGAATACCATAATTATTATTAGGCTGGAGTATAATTATGAATGTCTGTTAACAGACTAGAAATCAGCTTATCGTCTTGCTTCCCCGTTTGGAGTGTTATCCATCGTGTTATGGACGCGCGGCACCGCGCATCCTCAGCCAGACTTGAACGTGGCTGTAGACCTTACATCTGCGAGCTTGGTAGTCACGACTGGCTGACTGTTCACGGCTGAGTTGAACATTTTTGCTGTTTGCTGTGCGCATTATCAACTTCAATGCTCCTGTGGAGCTTTCGAGCGAATTTTACAAACACCCCAGTCCTCGGCGCAGCAGTCGTGACTCGAGCTGCCTGGCATGTTGCCTACCCTCGTGTGAGGCACCGTCTCACGGCTTGTCGGATGCTGTAGTCCCTGTGCCTGCCGTCTTCGCGCCGGCCGCCTTCCGACCCATATCACCGCTCTGATCACGTCACGTCCGATCACGCCCAGCATCTGCGGACGTCACGTCACGTCCCGCCCCTCGTGACGTGACGGCCGGCTGTGACCTGGCCCGGCCGCTGGTGCCGTCCGTCGCGCCACCTCTGACCGGTGCCGCCGCCGCCGCCAGGTGAACGACTACAACGAGTGGGACACGCTGGCGCCGCTGTTCGAGATGCCCGTCGCCTGCGTGAACGTCGGCCTGGCACTGAAGCAGATCTACCTGAGGTGAGGCTGGGCGGGGGAGGGCGCCCGCCGCTGCCGCCGGCCCGCAGCGGCACGCGGACCGCGGCGCTCATGGCCGCGTGGGGCACGACGAATGATGCCCCCGCTGCATACTGCTGGGCCCATTGTAACGGTGCAGACCCATTATGCAGCAGGTAGCGTCATGAGCATGAGGCAGCGAAACAGAAGGAATGGCCTAAATTAGAGACGTCTAGGAGGTAATGAAACCGGGCTGTGTTTTCCCCAGGCGATCATTTCGCGGTGTAGTCATGCTTGTAAAGTTGTTCGGGGAATCCTCAAGTCTTCTGCAAATTTTGGACGCTGCCTTGCGGCCTGTTCGGCGTTGGTTCTTTCTCGCGCACGCCCGCTTCTGTTCTTGATCTCCGAGCTTCTGCGAATCATCGCCTCGGGTGTCTGTTCTCGGCGCGTTACCCCCCTGCCTGCCCGTACGGCCGAGGCACAGCGCCGCGTGCGGTGCTGCGGTAGTCGTGTGGAGCAGACTACCGCAGGACCGCACAGGACCATCGCTGTCGGCACGCTCCAAGGCCCAGTCAGCCGTCGTCAGCTTCTCTGCGCACGTCCCTCCTCCTCGCCTTACCTCGCCTCCCCCCCCCCCCCCCCCTGTGCACATTGCCGAGTAGTCTGAACTCGGTGCCTGACGTGGGTGAATATCAAGGTCTGGACGGTGCGACTCGTGATTTGAGTGTTGATGCCGATGCTCAAGTTCGATGGCAAATACGGTCAGGCAATGTCCAGCTGCATCGCGCCTGCCACTGCCCGCTCAGCTCATGGATTACGTTTTTTACCGATGCACTGGGATGGGGGATTTCATGGACATGAAAGTTCTGTGAGCTTGCTATGAAAGCGGTTCTCGTGGTCTTATCGTTCGGTGGTCGAAGACCTGCGATGTACATTTGACAACGAAAAAAATAAACTTAAGTTTTACTGCGAAATGACAGCTATTTTTTGGCAGGCGGATTTAAATGGCGTTGCTCATGGAGCGAGCTGTGTGGTCCGACCATCGAGCACATGGCTCGAACGTGCCATTGTCTGACCGCGATCTCTCCACGCCGTTTGCGCCCCCTGGTCCGGCCGCTGGTGCTCTCGGCGTCCGCTTCTCTCCCCGCCTAGTTGCAGGCGAGCGTTGTCCGCGTGCGCATTGTTTTTGTTTGGGCCGTGACAGTCGGTGCAGGCCGACCGCCAGCCCGCCCGCCGGCCCGCCCGCGCGGGTTCTCGACGCGTCAACTGGTCTTACCCGCAACAGAATCGATAGTACCCGCCCGCCTAGCGGCGCCCCGCCGCCGCCGCGCGCCGCCGCCAGCCAGCCAGGCAGCGAGTATTGATTCGGTCGGCGCGCGCCGTTGGCGGCGTCTAATTTTAGCGTGCGGCCGCCGGCACGCGGCGTTCCGCGGTGCCCGACCGGGTGGGTCGGACCCGGTAGTAGACGGGCGGCGGCGGGCGGGCGGCCGTAGTAGTCGGACGTCGGGTCAGCCGGCGCGGCGGTACGGGCGCCACGCGCCGCCAGCCGCCGCCGGGCCCGGGCCGCCCGACCATGGAGGGAGGGAGAGTGGCCGGCCTGGCCGGGGCAGCCCGCACCCGGCCGCCCGCGCCTGCCCGCGTTATTGCCGACGCCGAATGTAAAGTCAATAACGGCACGGCTGTTTATGCAACATGGCGCGCCGCGTCCGGCCGTGCAACATGCGGACCGGAGCCGGCGGAGTCCGGCCGGACTGCTCGGGTCGGGGCGCCATGGCGGCTGGGCCGGGCCGGGCCGGACCGGACCGGCCGCCGGCGGGCGTGCGGGCAGACGCCGGCCAGGTGCGGCGGGGCAGGCCGGACATGGCAGCGCGGAGCCGTGATGGGAAGCCGCCCGCCAGCAGAGGGGCGGCGCAGCGCCCGCCACCGGTCTGAGCCAACTGCGTGGTGTAGGGACCGGGCCGGGCCAGGCTCGTTGGGGGTGAATGATGTTCATCCGGTGTGGTCGTCTGAGCAAATGGGCGCTGTCGCCCGAACTTTTCCCGCGCTAGAAACGCAGGTTTTCCACCTCTCCGCGACCCTGCCCCGGCGTCGCCTGTGTGAGCTGTTGCGTTTTGGCGCGCAGACGGCGCGTGGCGGGAGCGGCGTCAGCTGGCCGGGCCGGCCGGGTGGCGCGCGAGACGCCGTTCCCGCCAGTCAGCTGGCGACTTTGGCCCCGGGCGGCCCGAACCGCGGGCAGCCAGCGGCCCGCCTCATCACGTGGGAATGCGGTGGCGCTTTGGTTTTTGATCAAGGGCATTGAAACGAGTCTCACTTAAATTTTGTGGGCAACTCATGGGTTTTGGAAATCGAAGGATGAAGGGTAGTTTCTTTCAATTTTTCTGGGGGAATGCTATGGGGAAATCTAGTCATTTATGCGCTGTGTAGACTCGCAACGTGTGCGGCACAAGTCGCAGACCCGGTAGTGCTATAAACAAAACAACAAAAAGTACAGAAAGGCTATCCCGGTTGGCGCAATATGATCTCTGCAGTCGGCGCGCCCGAAAGCGCCAATCACCAACAGCAGGAGCCATCAGCTGGTGCGCTGTGACCCCTGATGCACGGCTACGGCAGGCGCTGGCGCTCCATAGAACGTTGCGCGACAACGTGCGTCGCGCACCTCAAAAGAAGCCGTCGCTTTCTCGGCGATCGCGGCCACCTCGTCTTCCGGCGTCGCCGTCGTGCGCCTGGCAGCACGCTGAGCGGCTCGAACGGCTTCATTAGATGTCTTCACGCCAGTTTATGATAATCCTGTTGTCTTTACGCTCAGAAATACGTATCTGGTGAGGCACGTCGCGGGGATTCCTCGATGATCGTCGCTCGTCGCGCAGTTGATTTTGTGTGGACGTGCTCAATTTAGTTATGCGCATCTTTACATTGTGAGTGCCGTTGATAAGCTGCACATCCACCAGAACGGGACGTGTCGTATGTTTCTTGGCGATGCTGAATTGTTAGATATTCCAATTGAGTCTGGTTAAGAGCATTTTGGATTGAAACTCGGACAGAAATCAGGATTTGTATATTCTTCCTGTTTCAATGGAGCTCGAGTCGCCTTTGTTCAGCGGACCGTCCCGTCTGGAAGTACCGGCTGGGAGCTCGGCGCGGCGGCGAGCCGGTCCCTCTCCCGGACACCGGCACGGGCACGCTCCCGCTCCCGCTCGTGCCGGGCGACGTCGCCGCGGCCGGCCGGTCAGCCGGGGCGGCCGCAGCACGTGGCGGCCGTCCGCCGGCGCCGGAGCCGGAGCCGGAGCCGGAGCCGGCTGCAGCCGAGCCGGCGGCCGATCAATAGCTGCGGCCGGAGTGGAGCGGCGCCGCCGGCCGCGTGCCGTGCAGCCGGCCATCTGCCCCAGCGACCGGGCGCGCCACCGGTCGGCGCTGGGCACCGCCAGCCGACGGCGGCTCGCGCACCGGGCGCCACTCACTTACCACATGTCGACGCTTGCTGATATGGTCAGTGCAGCTGGGAGCGCCAGCGGTGGCGGCTGGACACGTGCCGGTCGCTGAAGGTCAAGGTGGAGCGGCCGCCGACGTCGCGTGGGCGCGCGGCCGACTCCGGGCGGCCGCTGTGTCCGCGTGGGTCTGACGCGTACTATTGGCTCAGTGCTGGCCGTGGTTGGGACCACGTGGGCCCCGCACATGCCTGCTAAAAATTGCGTCTCGCACGTGGCGTGCGGGCGGCGTGCAAGAGCCTTGCACCATCCCCCCCCCCCCCCCCCCCCCAGATACTGCACATGCCCGTGTTCCCCGCCTCGCAGCACCCTGTAGTTGTCGACCTGCTGGTGTGCTGGTGGAGGCGACCCGCATGTCGCCGCGGCTCTGGCCCCGAGGTGGGGAGGGTGGAGGGTAGTGTCAGGCGGCTGGGCGCGCCTGCTGCCCCACTCGCTCTGCCGGCGCCGAGGGAGATTGCTGCAGACGCGGTCGGCGTGGCCGGTGCTGGTCACGACGAGGCCCGTCCGATCGGCCGGAACAAAACGGCCGCTGTCGCTTCACATCTGTCGTCGCAGTGGTCATCTGCAGAGTGAGGCCGCCGGCTCTGGCTGGGCGGCCAGCTGGGCGGTGCCCGCCGGGGCTGCCAGGGCTGAATTCTCAGTTACTAGTCTTTGAAAAAGTATTTTTGCCAAAGTGGTGGGAAATCGCCAGAAGTTTTATGCTTTTTTGGGGGGACAGAGATGTCTCCTAGCCCGTCTGAGCATTTTTTTGCCATGTAATGCTGTAGGGCTGATGCTAAGTGCTTCTAGTGTAGAGCTGGCTTCCCCCGTCCCCTTCCTTGTTCTTGCGCCCTTTACTGTAACAGGACAGGCTCAACACCAGCAGATCTGAAAGGTTTTCCAGCTTCTTGTGGTTTGTTGGCTTAAAACGAACATTTCTCTAAATGGCAAGAGCTGCAAGCATGCTTGGATGGGTTTGGTTGATTCCTCACAAACCACCGGTCGCCTTGTCTTCGACCTGTATTAAGAAATGTGGAGAGATGCTAGCGTACGTCGGCACGATGCTGATGAGTTGTGGCGGCCCCGAAAATTGCTGATGGAATGCAAATGGCGCACGACATTTTTACGGCGGACTCTTCTAGTAACCTCGCGGCCGGGAACTGGGTGTTTCCACGTCATCCCATTGTACACAGGATGTTTACCTCATGGTCACATCACCACATGAGAGCGGCGGGACTGGCGCACTACGCCGGATTGCAAGCCCCGCCCGGATCCGGACGGGCGAGTGTGCCGTCGATGCGCGCGCGCCCACACATGATATCGGAGTCAGTCGGAGTACGGCCAGCTCGGTTCAGCTGAGGGCTGTGAAACGCCTATTGGGACTGCGGAGCGGGACTCGTGTGCAGGGCGAGGATAGACGAGATGGCGTTGTGCTGTCTCAGCATCCGACACTGGCGCCGCCCAACGACACCTCTCGGGCCGGAGGAGAGCGCGCGCTGCCCACACGGCGGCCTGACTTGGACCGCATGCTGTGTGCCCGTGACGGGCAGGGCTGCGGCGCGCGGTGAGCCGTCACGCCTGTCCGTTCGTGACGCTCCGTTGTGCTGGCTGGTACGCGTGATGATAGGCCGCCATCGCTCAGACGAGCCTCAGCTGCTCGCTTGGTGTTGGTCTCTGCGCGACGTATTCGTTCGCACGATCATCGTTTTCCTCCAGCGTTTTCCATGCAATTTTGGCCCCGACCCACAGGTGCCTGGCTCGTGTCGTTGACAGTGATCTGCGACTTTTCTTATAACAGCCATGTTTTTTGTTATGCATGTTAGTTGTTGGCGCTATGCGACATAGCAATGGAAGCGTCCGTCAACGGGAATGATCAAAAGGAATGGGGCATACAAAACAAAAAACGGTGGCCTGCGGACGTTCCCTGCCGTCTTCAGCCGGAGCTGGTCGGTGCGCGTACACCGGTCTCGGGTTCGCCTGCCGGGCGGAAGCGCACTGTGGCAGCGTGTGACCGCTGGCCGGCCGGCCGCCGCAGGTACCTGGACCACTACGAGAAGGTGCACTTCCACGGCGAGGAGCTGTACGGTCGGCACGACGAGGAGATGATCCTGCACGACACGTCGTCGCGCTCGTCGCGACGCCACAACGTGCGGGCCCTCAACGCCGTGCCCATGACCTACAACACCGGCCAGCACATCGTCTCAGGTGGGAGGCGCGCGCCGGCGCTCGCCCCCCCCCCCCCCCGCGGGCGCTGCACTGTCCGGACGGCAGGAAAGCGTGGGGGGGTGCCGTGTTGTAGAGTCGGGGGGTGCGCAATGGTTGATGGGAGGATAGCGAGCCAGGATCGAAACTCTCCTTGGATGCCTGATTTGAGCCAGATGTTTGCAGTGTCTGTTTGGAGCGGCGCCAAACGCCGGGTGGGTCTGCTCGACCCCCACTTCCGCCGCCGTCTCGGGGGATCGCCGCGGCACCTCCACGAGGGTGTCGTAAAGTTTGGGCGGTACCGCGCGGGGGGGGGGGGGCAGCGGTCTGTGTGTTGTGCGGCCGTCGATCCCGCCTCCCGACTGTTGACCTGACCTGACCTGACCTGAGCTGACGCCGGTCCGTGCCGCCGTCGCCGCCAGACTCGCTGCGTCAGTCGCTGGGCATGAGCCAGCCGCGGCCGCCGTCCGAGTACGATCGGCTGCTGCTGTCGCTGCTCAGCCCGCTACCCAACGAGCAGGACTTCGCCATCAACCTATGCACGCTGCTCAGCAACGAGGGCAAGCATGAGCTGCGGCTCAGTCGGCACCCGCGCCTCATGGGCGCGCTGCTGGCCCATGCCGGCGTCTTCACCGACGGTGAGTGGGCCGCCCCCGGACCGGCCGCGCCGCTTCGCCAGAGGATGCCGCTGGCGCGATCACTGTGAATCAGTTCCGGTGATCGGGAGACTGTGGTCATTTAGCAGGGGTTGACATGCCAGCTTTGGAGTGATTATGGCAGCTGGGTGGGGGGTGGGGGGCAGATCAGCATGGTTTTGGGCCTACGCCTTCGTCGCGGTCGCTGTCGGTTATTTTTTACTTGGCTGTGACAGGACGTCCCTGTATGCAGGCTATACGCAGAAGTACATGCTGGAGAACTACTCGCGGACCAAGCGACAGAACCTGGTGGCGTTCTGGCGCGACAGTCTGACGGAGAAGAAGCTGCTGCGCCTGCTGTCGGTGCATTACGCGCCGGAGCGGCGGCCGCTGACGGGGCCGGCCGGCGCGCACGACTCGGCGCTGCTCTTCTCGCCGGCGCGCGCCGAGCTGCACCAGCTCTCCGACGACAGCGACGACGAGCCGGACGCCGAGCTGGACGCCGAGGTGGCGGCGCTTGCGGCCGCCGGCGCCGCTGCCGACGACGACGACGCGCTCTTCTGCCTGGGCACGCAGCTGGGCGTGCTGGAGCGGACTGGGCACCGCGTGCTGCAGGTGGCGCAGGTGCTGCGCAGCCTCAGCTTCGAGCCGGAGAACGCAGCCGTGATGGCGGCCAGCGCCGCGTGCCTGCGCTTCCTGCTGCTGTGCGCCCACTGCCGCTGGGGCAGCCTGAGCAGTAGCGCGCGCGACACGCTCGGCAACCTGGCCGGCGAGGTGGTGCTGCGCGACGCCGCCTCGGACCGGCTGGGCCGGCTGCTCGTGCAGTACGCCGGCCGCGGCGTGCAGCACGCCGACCGCTCGGTCGTGCTCGCCAGCCTCGAGGTGCTCAACAAGCTGGCGCAGAACGAGCGCAACGAGGAGCCGCTGGCGGCCGCGCTGGACGCGCGCCTCCTGCAGACGGTGTGCACGTACCTGTCGCTGCACGACATCCTGCTGCTGATCGCCAGCCTCGAGTGTCTGCTGGGCCTGACGTCGCTGGGCGAGGACACGTGCCGGGCGGTGGCGCGCGCGCCTGGCGCCGTCACCACGCTCGTCTCGCTCGTCACCGTAGAGGTGAGCGGACGCCGCGGCGCGTCAGGGCGGTCGCGCGGAGGCGCCGTGCCGGGCGAGTAGGGAGGGAGGGCTGCGGTCGGAGTCGGCGCCGGATTAGGCCCGGGCATGTCTGGGGAGATGGTGCGGATAGTCTGGTGGGTGGAATCGGTTTGTCGCCGCGCTGCTGGTCTGTCGCCTACCGAATCATATCGTGTGGGCCAGTGTTCCACTTACGGTGTTTTTGTTTTTTTTGAATGGTGGGGTATGTCCTGCGCAGAGTGCGAGTGTAAGGGTTGACAAGCTTGGCTAGGACAGCATTTGCGCACTTGAAGTCCCAAATTTCAAACCTCGTGCATACGCCACAGCTATCATCTGAAATCGTACAGCAGCTCTCAGCTTGGCGCGGCGAAACAGGTTGTGTCGCGACGACTGCATAACCGTGGGGCCGGAGAGCATTGAGTCAATGGCTCTGGGGGCGACGATGTGGAGAAGGGTCAGCCTGGGATCACATCTGTCAGCTTTGGTCGTGTTCGGGTTTATGTCGGTATTGACTCCGCCCTTTGCCTCGACAGGCTCAGAGCTACGGCCCGCGTGCCTGTATCCTCATGAAGGTGATGCAGACGCCGTGCAGCGTGCCGGCGCCGGCCGCCGGCCCGCCCTCCGCGCAGCAGCCGCCGCCGCAGCAGCAGTTGCTGCAGCAGCCGGCAGCGGCGGCGCCTCCCGCTGCGCAGCACATCCACATCCAGCAGCAGCAGCAGCAGCCGCCGCCGCCACCGCCGCCGCAGCCGGCGCCGGTGGTGGTGGCGGCGCCGCAGCAGCAGCAGCACGCGCCGGCGGCGGCCGTGCGGATCCAGCCGCCGGCGCCGCCGGCCACGGTGGTGCGCCAGGTTCCGATGCCGCTCATCCAGCCGTCGCAGCCGCCCGTCCTGCCCAGTGAGTCGCCGCCGCGCGCCGGTCGCGCGCACGCTGGGCGTCGATGACGTCACCACGGCCTCTGCCCGCTGCTGAAGCGGAGGTCGAGGGTGTTTGGGCTGGGTTTTGTTGTGCTGTGACGTGTGCGTGTGCGTGTGCGCGTATGCGTGCGTTTGTGTATGCGCGTGTGTGCGTGCGTGCGTGCGTGCGTGCGTGCGTGCGTGCGTGCGTGTGTGTGTGTGTGTGTGTGTGTGTGTGTGTGTGTGTGTGTGTGTGTGTGTGTGTGTGTGTGTGTATATGCGCGTGTGTATGTGTGTGTGTGTGCGTGCGTGTGTGTATGCGCGTGTGTGTGCGTCTGTGTGTGTGTGCGTGTGTGTGTATGCGCGCGCGCGCGTGTGTGTGTGTTTGTGTGCGTGCGCGTGTGTGTATGTGTGCGTGCGTGTGTGTGTGTGTGTGTGTGTGTGTGTGTGTGTGTGTGTGTGTGTGTGTGTGTGTGTGTGTGTGTGTGTGTGTGTGTGTGTGTGTGTGTGTGCGCGCGTGCGTGTGTGTGTATGTGTGCGTGTGTGTGTGTGTGTGTGTGTGCGTGAGCGTGCGTGCGTGCGTGCGTGAGTGTGTGTGTGTGTGTGTGTGTGTGTGTGTGTGTGTGTGTGTGTGTGTGTGTGTGTGTGTGTGCGTGGGTGTGTGTGTATGCGCGTGTGTGTGTGTGTGCGTGTGTGTGTGTGTGCGTGTGTGTATGCGCGTGTGCGTGTGTGTGTGTGTGTGTGTGTGTGTGTGTGTGTGTGTGGTAGTGTGTGTATGCGTGTGTGCGTGCGTGTGTGTGTATGCGCGTGTGCGTGTGTGTGTGTGTGTGTGTGTGTGTGTGTGCGGTGTGCGTGTGCGTGTGTGTGTGTACGTGTGTGTGTAGTTCATGCGATCGGTGGCTTAGCGGTGGTGGGTTGGGATCGGCGTGATGTGACTTGTCTCCGCACAGGCTGTCTCGCCCGCCGCGGCTGTCACCGTGCTGACGTGGCGTAATTCCGCCAGCTTGCGACCGCCCCGGTCTCACGCGCGTGCTGTCGCGCCACTGACGGCCGCTGGCCCGCCCAGTAGAGGGCTGGCCGCACGCTTGCGTCGCTGCGCCGCTGACGGCCGCCGCCCCGTCCCGCAGAGGGTCCGTTGTCGCACGTGGCGTCGGCGCCGGTGACGGAGAACAGCCTGTGGACGGTCAAATGGCTGCAGACGGTGTGCGAGGTGTCGCCCGGCCAGAGCATCGAGCAGGGCGTGCTTTACAAACAGTACACGGCCTCGGCGGCCGCCCAGCACTGGAAGGGCGTCATCACGCAGGGCGAGTTCGCCAACTGCGTCAAGTGAGTGCCCCGGTGACCGCGGTGCCCGCTGGCCCCTGGTGCGGTCCGTCCGCGTGGAGTCCAGGGGAACTCGACGGCTGCGGTATGACACCGGTGACACTGCGGTGACACCGGTCCCCGTGCTGTGGGCTGTCCCCCGTGTGACACGTGGGTGGTAATTGGCCACACCGCGCCTCAGAAGACTGGTGATGGTTGGTCGGCTGGCAGTGCTGGGGCGGTGGACGGTAACGGAGGCTCGACTGGCAGTAGTTCTAGTGTGTGCTGTGCTGGCCGTTGGGCCGCCAAACTGCAAATCCTTTGTCACGAGTGGCGACCGCAGATCGTCCGTCGGTTTTCGCGTGCCGATGTGAGTCGCGTTCCTTGTATGCAGCAGCTCTTGGGCTATCTCCCCCTCAGCTATACGGGTGTATCTGTGCTGTGGCCAGCGTGGCCGATGTGCTGCCGGCGCCGACGAGCTGTGGTGGTGGGCTGGGCACCCCTGGCCAGCGCGTCACGGGGTGGCATCCGACTGCCGCCGCCCTCAGGTCGGTGTTCGGTTCGTCGGTGAACGCGGTCGCCAAGCGACTGGCCAACGGCGGCACCGAGTACCACTTCGAGGGCATCCGCTCCAAGCTGCAGATCGTGACGACGGTGGTGCAGCCGCCGCAGCCGGCAGCGGCGGCGCGGCCGCCGCCGGCGCCGGCCGCGCCGCCCGTCTCGTCCATCCTGAAGGCACAGCTGTCGGCGCCGCCGCGGCCCGAGCTGCAGCGCGCCAAGGAGCCGGCCGTCGCCACTAGTCAGGTAGGTGTCGGTGCCGGGTGTCGGCTGTGACGGCCGCTGGAGGCGGACCTGGGAGAGGAGGAGGAGGAGGGGGGCTGCGCCGTGCGACGCTCACCGGCCGCTCTGGTGTCAGCAGGGGCCGGCCGGCCGCCACCTCTCGCAGGCGCTGATGGGCGGGCCCGGCCACCAGCGGCCCGAGCCGGCCGCCGCCTCCAGCTCGCTCATCAAGTCCCTGCTGGCCAGCAAGGTACCGCCGCACCCGCCGCAGCAGCAGCAGCACCAGCAGCAGCCGCAGGAGTCGGCGCCGGCCGTCTCGGCGTCACCGACAGGTGGCCTGAGCCCCAGCTGTTTTAGCACGCCGCAGGCCCAGGTCCGTGCTCGGTCCGCCTCGGCGCCGCCTCCTCCCCGGCCGGGCGCGGTGCTCATCTCGCCCGTGCCGGCGCCGGCGACGGTGCCGGCGCGCGCGCTCTCTCCGCTCTGGCGCCCGCTGTGGTGCCGCTTCCGGGGCCTGGTGCTGGCTGGTGGCGGGTCGGGCGCCCTGTTGGTGACGGTGAGACGTGCCGGCCGCTCCGTCCAGCCTAACACCGACTGGAGCGGCGGCGCGCGGCCACTGACTGCAGACTGCCGTGACGCTAACCGCCTGCCGCCGCGCCACTGTCCGCCGGCGCTCTGGCTCTCCCTCTGTCTGTCTCCGCCGTCGCGGCGTCCATTTGTCAGGCAGGGGTGTCTCTCTCTCTCTCCCTCTCTCTCTCCCCTCACTGGCCTGTCTAACCGTGTGCAGTGGGGTGCTAACACGCCGCGTGCAGGCGGCGAGGGTGCCAATCGAGTGCCTGCGGCCTGGTAGTGGTGCTTGTCCTGTTGGAGGCGGTCTGTAGGTCGCTTTCGGCTCCAGTGTGGCGTGTTCTTGCCAGTCTGACTTGCGTTAAATGATCTTCCGTGAACGACAAGCATTGGTGGTATGGAAAAGTTAGGCGCGTCGGCCAGTTGAGTTTTGGACTGGCATCTGATGGCAGTTTAAGGCGCATTGTGACTGACACAAACTGGCTGCGGTGCGCCGCAGGTGTCAACTTAGATGTCTGAACGAGCCATTGCAATTATTTTAATTGCACTTGTCGAGGTCTTCGATTCTCGACTCGTGGTGGCTTTACATCTCCAGGACCCACAGTGCTTGTCGTTCGTAGAGTCGTTATTCCTCGGTGCATGTCTGCTTCGGTCGTTGACGCCGGCCGCGTTCACATTCACTGATTTTCGCCTGACCAATGATATCAATTCATTGAGATACCGATTTATTGAAGACGGAGGAAATACCGTAATGATTGCGCCAGTTAGTCCCCCTGCCACGGACTGGCTGGATGATGTGTCGAGATGCCTAAGGCGATTTTTGCGGTGTGATGCGTAAGGCAGCGAAAGTTTGAAATCCCCATTTATTTTGCCCTTGTTTGATGGCCCACTTGACCGGTTCCAAGTCGTGCCGTCTCCGGTTTCGTGAACGTTGCGGCTACGCTAACAACTAGTTTTATTCTTCGCTATGGCTGCATTCTTGCAAGATCCTGCTTTTGTATAAAGGTCTACCTTTTTAGCCAACCAAAATCCAAATTAATGTAAACGGCTCCGAGTGCTGTAAATGCTCGGAGCTGCTGCCGTCGGCACAAAAACGGATTGAGGTGGGGTACCCTGTACGCAGCGGTCGCCGGCGAGCGGCAGCTGCCAGGCAGGCTGGCTGGTGTCCGTCGCCGGCCCGCCGGCCTCTGCTGACACGTGGTGTCCGTCCGCCAGGTGGCCAGGAACATGCAGAACAAGCGGCTGGCCGTCAACGGAGTGGGCGAGGTGAGGCCGGGCGCCGGCGGCCGTGCTTGCGTGTGGAGAGGCGCGAGCGCCGTCCGTGCGCTGCTGTGCACCTATGCGTATTGATAACCTTGTGACTGGTGCAGGTGGCCGGCGTTGCAGATATTTATTCGCAAGAACGTTCACAAGTGAGAGTGAAGTGGACTAGTTTCGCATCGTTTGAAAATCGGGCCAAAAACTCAGAAACATTTTCGGAGGATCACCGTAACTTAAGTCGTCTTTGTATGGTCGTTGTTCTGCTTAGAATTCTACTTTCCAGCCGTCGAAGCTTACCGAAGCCGTACGTGTGTCCGTGCCGTCACCGTTCGGCACTCGCTTAATGTCAGCCTGCCAACCTGGCGATAGGCGGCTTAAGATGACACGACTCGCTCGCCGACATTGCGCGTTGGCGTCACAATCAGCCACAATCTTTAAGATAATGACGATAGTGGGCATGAGGATTGTGCGCAACCTGAGGCCCAGGACTTGTGCCAGTCACAAGAAGTGCACCGTGCATTTCGTATTATTGGGGGCTACACGTATAGTGCCAGCCGAGCAGTAGGATAGTAGAAGAAGTGGGATAGGACGTGGGCAACTTACCCGCTACACTATATTTTTAGTGGAAACAAGCGCACTGTACTTCCGATCGCAACTAGTATAACGAATTGGAACGGTGCTCTCCACTGAGCGCCGCCGCCACCAAGCCACCCACCTCGGTTCTTGTGAAGATGGAATGTGCCTTGGCCTGGGCCGTATTTGTGTTACTTTGCCATTTGCCCCACCCAGGTCTGCAGATATCCCACCTGGTACTTTGCCATTTGCCCTACCCAGGTCTGCAGATATCCCACCTGGTATGAAGACATCGATTCATGGCCGTCTTCAGTTCCCTCCGCGCGATTTCACCGCTTCAGTATGCTCCAGCGTTTTAATACCCGACCACTTGGATGGTAGGGATGTCGATATTCTGTGTACACCCCAGGCTTGGGGCTCACTGCCTGTCCCCTCCCCTCGCTCAAAATCGGCCAACCAGCACCGAACCTGACGGCGGTCAATCCAGGACTGAGGGCCTCAGACCTGATAGACGGGTCGGGTAGGTCAGACCTCTAGGTTTTGCGGTCAAAGGGAATCATATTAGCGCCAACGAACTGCGTGCGGGGGCCGCTAGAGAGCCAGGTTTTAGGTGGCGTAACTTTGCTTTCACATCCTACATATCCGACTGCATTAATTTTGGAGCGCTGGCGTGCCCGCGTGCCGTCGGCCACCCAACGGGCGAGCGCCAAATGACCATGACGGTCGGTGCGCCCCAAGCCGCCAGTCACCAACAGCAGCTGACGGCGCCGTCTCTCCGACAGACGGAGCCGCTGCCGGGCGAGCTGGCCGACCCGGCGGCCGGCGGCGACGGCGCCGTGCACAACGGCATCAAGCCGGCGCCCAACAGCGGCTCGCGGCCGCCCAGCCGCGCCGCCAGCGAGGGCCTGCTCGCCGACCTGCTGGAGCGCAAGATCGCGCCCGTCAACGGCATCGACAAGGAGCTGCGCATCGGCGAGCGCGGCCTGGAGCTGGTCAACAACAACAACGGCAGCGCCGGCGGCGACGAGCGCACGGTCAACGGCGGTGCCGCCTCCCCGGCCAAGCGCAACGGCACCGACCTGCTGGCCTCGGCGCTCGACATGGCCGGCCTCATGGACGACCTGGGCGCCATGGACGACGACGATCCGCCGCCGGCCAGCCCGCCGCCGCCGCCGGCGACGCCCACCCCGCCGCCGCAGCCGGCGCCGGTGCTGGCGGCACCCGGTCAGCAGGGTTTCAAGCGGCCGGCCGAGGGCGGTGGTGGCGGCGAGGCGAAGCGGGCGCCGCCGCCGTCCCCGCAGCAGCAGCAGCAGCAGCCTCCGCCGCAGCAGCAGCCACAGCAGCCGCAGCAGCCACAGCAACCACAGCAGCCGCAGCTGCAACAGCCACAACAGCTACAGCAACAGCAACAGCAACAGCAACAACCGCAGCAGCCGCTGCAGCTGCAGACGGGTGTCACGGCTGGCGGTCAGCAGGTGGTGATGGTGCCGCAGAGCATGGCCAACATGGTGCTCAAGCTGCCGGCTAATGTGAGCCAGGGTCAGCAGCTGCTGCTGCCGCAGGGCCAGCTGATGATGACGTCATCGGGTCAGCTTGTGCTGGGGCAACACCAGGCACAGGTTATGGTGCAGGGCGCCGGCACCGGCAACGTGGTGGTGGGCCAGCCGGCCGTGGGCCAGCCGCAGACGGTGCTGGTGGCGCAGACGCCGCAGCAGCAGGGCACGGCCACGCGCACGCTCATCTTCCTGCCGCCACACCAGAAGGTGTACGTCTCGCAGCCGGGCGCCACGCACCAGGGCCAGCTGATGGTGCAGGTGACGCGCGCCATGTCCGGTACCACCCAGGTGGTCAACAGCACCGTGGTGACGGGCTCGCGTGCCGCCCAGCAGCACCTGCGCGGCCAGCCGCAGCCTATCGTCACCGCCCAGCTCGCGCCGCCGGGCCGCCTCGCTGCGTCGGCCCACCCGGCTGTCGGCGCGGGCGCCGGCGCCGGCCGGACGCTGTCGTCGACGCGCTCCGCGTCGCCGGCCGTGCCCGCGCCGCCGCCGCCGCCGCCCCCTCCTCCACCACCGCCGGCGTTACTGCCGCCGCCCGCGCCACCAGCGCCGCCGCCGCCGCCGCCACCGCCGGCGCCGGTGCGCGCGCCGAGCGTGGCGCCGACGCCAGAGAGCGTGGGTCGCCCGCTGCCGGCCGGCCTGCTCTGCGAGTGGCGTGGCTGCCTGCGCGGCTTCCCGACGGCGCACGCCGTCTACCAGCACGCCATCGAGACTCACTGTCCGCCGCAGCTGAGCGACATCCCCTGCCTGTGGGAGCGCTGCGACGGCATGATCCGCAAGCGCTACTCAATGATGACGCACCTGCAGGACCGGCACTGCGCCGAGCCGGTGAGCGCGTGCCGTCGAACCGGTGTTGGGGGAGGGAGGGAGGGGAGAAGGGGACGGGTCGAATAGGCCACGCGGGAGTGTGCGGACAGAAGCAGTGTGAGATCGTGAAATTCGCCGCCTAGTTAGTTTGCCGCGACGGGTCTGCTGGTGTTGGTTTTCTTTGGTCTGGGTAGTTAAACTGAAGGCTGCTGCAACGCGCCAATTTGTCAGACGTGAAGCGCTTGGGATGCTGCTGACGGTTGCATAACCTCCGGTTTCCCCTTGATGACATCAATGGTAATGGCCTGTAATTGCGTTCCTCTCGCTACCTGCGATCGCTGCGGCTGGGGCCGTAGAGTGGGCCGTCCAGCCGGCCGCGTGACTCTGCGTGACGCGCGTTGCCCCGGTTGCCAGATGCTGCGGCTGATGCGGAAGCGGCGCGAGCAGCTGCAGGCCACCGGCAAGACGGACATCCCGACGCCGTCGGCGCCGCCGCCGCACCCGGGCTACGCCAACAACGCGGCGCTGCAGGCGATCCGGCGGCACGCGCTCACCGAGGCCAAGCCGCCGCCCGACGAGAAGGAGGGGCCCGTCACAAAGTCGATCCGGCTGACCGCCGCGCTCATCTTGCGGAACATCGCCGTCTTCTCGCAGCACGGCCGCAGGTGAGGCGGACTGTCGGGCGCCGGGGTGTGGTACGAGTGGCGGCCGGGGTGTGGTGCGACGGGCGGCCTAGTGTGAGGTGCTGTGCATGCACAGGTGGTGGTCTCCTCTCCCGGCATCGCCGGGTGCTGGCGGAAGGCTTGTATTTATAATAGTCGGTGCGTCTTAGGCTACTGGTCCATCGTGAGGGCCTTCGCAAATTTGTTTTTCGCTTGCTTGTATCGTTTTCCAAAGCGCGCGTTTTCCTCCACCTCGCCAACTGTTAGCGCGGGAACGTCGGCTGGAAGATCCCACCTGGCTCGTTTTGCGGCCGCGGCGTGAAATGCCCGCCTGACGACGTCGTTCTCTGTGTCGGCCAGGGTGCTGCGCGCGCACGAGAGTCACCTGCTGAACGTGGCGGCGAGCAGCGCCGAGTCGTCGCGCACCATCGGCCAGCTGCTTGCTGACTTGCACGAGGTGGACCCGAGCTGACCCCCGGCGGCCGGCCCTGAGGGCCCGGAGCCTGACCTCAGCTGACCAACGTCCGCCCAGCAACACCCCCAACTGTGATGTCACCCCAACCACTCATTCTCACCACCTGCGAACCCTTCATCGGCGTTGCGAGCGTGCGCCCGTGTCTCAGGCTTATTTTGTCAAGGGTGCGGTGGCCTGACCCGCCATCTGTTGTGCATAGCGGAAAGTACAAAGTCGCGTTTTAGGCACCGGAGGCGCCGTTCGTGCTGGGCAAATCGGTTGTTGTCGATGTCTTGTTTACGCTGCGGTAACCTTGCGCACTTTCTGGGATCGTGTCGTTCTGCCTTAGATGGTGCAGCGACGTTGCTTTTGTAGGTGGCGAACTTTTGTATTTACAAGACTGCTGTTATTTATGTAAAAACAAGGTTTGTATCATCTGATAAGACCATCTGAGGAGGATGTGTAGAGCAGACGGGCGGAGGCTAGTCAGCGGGTTCCCACTGAACGAGATCCGACGTTTTTATTGGAGGGGCAACCTGTTCTTCTCACGAGCGCCTTTATCGATAATAAATTTTATTGCAGCTAGTTGTTGAGAGGTGTCTTAAGGCGCGGTATCCAGGCGTTTCATTGGGTTCCCGCAGCGGATACCGGGAAACGTCTGTCAATCCGCTAAAATGGTAGCATATTGAGCAAAACTTGCCACCCATCCCCAAAACTCCAGTGAACTCCAACTGCTGCCATGAGGAGTCATAATATCGGCGCTGGTGGCGATATCACTGACTGGGTCAGCGCGTCAACGATCTCTCTCTCTCTCTCTCTCTCTCTCTCTCTCTCTCTCTCTCTCTCTCTCTCTCTCTCTCTCTCTCTCTCTCTCTCTCTCTCTCTCTCTCTCTCTCTCTCTCTCTCTCTCTCTCTCTCTCTCTCTCTCTCTCTCTCTCTCTCTCTCTCTCTCTCTCTAGCTCTAGCTCTAGCTCTAGCTCTAGCTCTAGCTCTAGCTCTAGCTCTAGCTCTAGCTCTAGCTCTAGCTCTAGCTCTAGCTCTAGCTCTAGCTCTAGCTCTAGCTCTAGCTCTAGCTCTAGCTCTAGCTCTCTCTCTCTCTCTCTCTCTCTCTCTCTCTCTCTCTCTCTTGCTCTCACCCACTCCCACGCAGCCCCACGCCGTTGCTGAGCCGACTGACCAGCGGCAAAACAAGCTGGCGCCTTGGCGCCAAACGGCCCGCGATTGGACGCGCGTGCTGCGGCCGCACACGTCTGTAATGACTGCGCGACGGTAGATGTCCCGGAGCCGAACTGCCGTGTCTGGGTGGGCTCGGAGCCCAGGAGCCGCTGACGGGGCATGTCTGGAGTGATGTGGCTGCGTGCCCACCCTGGACTGTTCCGGGTTGGACGATTGAAGCGATCGACCAGCCGAGGCGGGTGAGCGTCTCACACCAGGGAATGATGCACGTGGAAAGGGTATGCGGCCACTGCGTGTTGGCTGAGTGCGGCATGAGGTCATCGCGTGCCACCTGTGCACCGACATGCCAGCGTCAGCATGTCCCAGTCGGGTCGGGCGCTGCAGGCGCGGCAAGCGCCGTGTCAGCGGCGCAATACGGCGGCCGGGTCTCAGAAGCTCCTCGAGGGGCGGATGATAACAGGACTCTCCTGGCATACGACTCATCGGTCTCGCTTCGAATTTCGTCCACTGGATTCGCTCAAAGTCGTACTGCTTTTGATTCATGTCATGGTTCGAACTGCCCCCAGTGAGCCGCTCAGTCCACATATCGCGTGATCCAGCGTTGAATCAGTCACTGGCTGGGCGGGGCCGGCGGCTCCACGCCCCGTCTGCCGCGGACCGCGTCACGCCCGTGCGCTCTTGCGGCGAGAGAGGCCGGGGACGCTGAAGCCGACCTCGGGCGCGTTATCGAGGGCGGCAAATCGTCTCGATAGCTGTAGACAGAGGAGGCCGCTGCCCGCCTGGTGCATGTCTCACGTTGCACTGTGTTGGCCCCACCGAGGTAACGTGCACTTCGTCGGGTTGTTCTGGGGACGGGTGGAGTCATTTTTTACTTACTCCATGCGACTCCAGCCTCAGATGCCGAGTTCAACCAAAATAATGATAAATTCCCTTTGTCTACATGGCCTAGAATAGGTGAATCAGTCACTTATCCATGGCGGGTATAGCCCCATACGCGCGGAGCACGGTTCAAAATAGTGCATATTCCATCCGCCTCGATGGTCTGGAAACAAGTGGCGCTCCCGCCAACCAGATCGACACAGGCTGTTGCCCCACCGACGCGAACCCGGTTCGTGGGCGTATTGTGGCGTTAGGTTGTCATTCTTTCACTGCTCAGCTCCCACCACCTCTCGATTGGCGGAATTACGCCCTGAGCACGTGTACATCAGGAATGTGTCGCTTAATTAACGCGCACGCAAGAGCACCTCCGACTCAGGAGGAATAATGTGTGGCTTTATAGTGGAATCCTGAGTCTGGCCTGCCGTAAAGTTTCGCAGTTTTGCACGCGAACATCATCACACAAGACGCCTTCAGCTGTCGACGGCCGGAGAACTGTCAGAGACCTTATGTCCATACACGCAGGACAAGAACGGTAGTCATAAAACTCTATTGATGATGCTGACATCATGGCTAGATCACTCAGCAAAGCCCTAAAGCCTATTTCCTGATCCCATACGATATTAGCAAACGCGAGGACTGTTACACCCACAAAATCGCGCTGTATTCCAGACCCACAAAACGGCATAATGCAATGGTGTGTTCCGGCTTCTGCCTCATGATTCTGAACTGATCGGTTTGGTTTTGGCTTCGCGTTTCCAAGTTTGAAATCGCCGAGTTCGGCTTCGACTTCGCGTGAACAGAGTTCTACGCCACTGGCTTTGGATGCGATTTCGTGTTTTAACGATACGAGGTGTTTTAACACGAAGAGTTAACTTCGTGTGTGAGGCCACTGGCCTTAATTTGGCTTCGCAGTTTCCATACAAATTCAAGTTTGGTAGCCAGTTGCTTCGACTTCGGCTTCGGCTTCATGTTAAGGCCTTGGATTCAGATTCGGCTCCGAAGTCAGCAGCCGGACTTCGTTCCCGTACCTAATTCGAACAAAACATACGGAATTGCACATGCCAATTTCAAGGCACATTTTCAACTGGGTACACTTCGGTGACATCCAGGATATGGTTGGCGAGCGAGAAACATGCCAACACAAATGTGGTACGTTGCCACTGTTGCCCGCCATGGATCATAAGTGAGTGAAAGACAGGTTCACACCGGGAAGAGAATGGTTGGCGATGGAGCAGATACGTTCCTGTAGATCAGCGACGGAAACGGCGCAAAGAAAGGGCACCTGGCGGAAGGGGCGCGTAAGCAGGTGGTCTCAGGTACGAAAAACGCTACGGGCCGAGACTGATAGACACGAGGCACGGAGCACACCGGGCTGTCCTGCGCTTCCAATTCAAAAAAGAACTACCAGAGCCTTTTCTGGCAGGAGTACACCGGGCTGTCCTGCACTTCTAATTTAAAAAAGAACTACTAGAGCACTTTCTGGCCAGAGTACACCGGGCTGTCCCGCACTTCCCATTGAAAAAAGAACTACCAGAGCACTTTCTGGCACGAGTACACCGGGCTGTCCTACACCTCCAATTTAAAAGAGAACTACCAGAGCACTTTCTGGCAATCAATGGAAAGACGTGCACGCACTGAATCTAGGCCGGTGAGCATTGGTATAAAAATTACGCCTGCGATGATCTCCCTTTGGTTGCAGGTGGTTGCGCGTGGCAAATGGTCGAATAAGCGGTCTGCGAGGGACTGATCCTGGTCTGAGGGGCTGATCCTGGTTTGCGAGGGCTGGCGCTACTCTGTGGGGGACCGGCACTGGTCTGGGAGGTACTGACAATGGTTTGTGAGCGAAAACACTGATCGGTGAGGGACAAGCACGTTCGGTACGGGACAGACACTTCAGTGAGAGACTGACACTAGTCTGCAAAGGACTACCCTGACCGCTTTCTTCGGTCGGACAGCCCAGGGGGGGGGGGGGCTGTCCCTGATCTGCACCGGTCTGGTGCCTGCGTTCCGAGTCCACCGACTGGTCCGCGCACGGCTGCGCCGCTCCGCCAGAACAAACACCACGCATCCCGTTGCTGTTTGCATTTGGCAGTTAGCTCGCAGGCGACACTCACAGAACACACACACGCGCGCACACACCGACCGGGCAGGTCGCAGCTGCTCACTCTCGATCCCCGGAAGCCCCGGACGGCCGGCCGCTGACCGCGGCTCCGCGCGCTGCCCCTACATCAGGCGCCACCCCCACCGGAGGTGTTTACAGTGGCGCCGTCATGCGGCCACGCAAGGAACCGCGGCCAAGCGGCCGGCGCCGGGGCTGGCGTCCGGTGGATCGCTCACTTGCCCCGCTGGTTCACGAGGGTCTTGATGTCCTCCTCAATGTGGATGGTCTCGAACTTCTTGCTGTACCTGAAGTGAAAACCAGAGGCCTATTACTTAATCGGATTATGCGGCTGTGACTGGGCAACAAGCCCCACGGCCCATTTTACCAAATAAAAATGCTCCTTTCAAACTTTCTTCGATGGATAAATGCAAAAGTTTGCACACCATTGCTACAGAAGGACTGCATTAAAACTTAAAATGAGCCAAGAGTCGAGCTCCTAAATCTCGGTTACGTTCCATCCTCGGATGGCTTAGCCTCCCGTCCAGTACGTGATGAGCCAGCCTTGCCTCCTCCTGCGGCCTCGGTCACTCACCTTCGGAACGGCTTGCCGTCGGGCCCGATGAGGAACTTCTCGAAGTTCCAGGCGATGTCGCTGCGCTCTAACGGCGCCCAGATCACCAGCCGGGGGTCGGCCAGCAGCGCGGTCGGGTCGTCGGCCGGCAGCGGCAGCGCTGACTTCAGGTACTGCCGATGACAGCGGCTGGGTCATCGTGGCACCGGCTCGGCTCCCGGCCACCGCGTCAGGCCGTCAGGTGACCCCCCCCCGTCAGAAGGGGGGGGGGGGAGATCGACGCGAAGCGGAAGACGGCAGCCTTTGGGGCGTTTACGGTATTGTGTTCGGTCGGCAGCCACTCCAGTGCGGATGCCCGGTCGAAGGTTCGCCGTATTCAAATTGAGCGAGCCTGCCATTCCGATCTGTTACAGCTTTCACTTTTCCCCTCCCTTTATGAATATTTCCTCTGTTCGTCTGCGTTCCTTTCTCCACTCCCGAGGGGTGACACTGGCTGGCCGCATCACTTCGATCGCTAGGGAAAGCGCACATGCCGCGCCGGAACTACAAATGTCCGTCTGACAAACACAAGTGTTTTGCACAGAATGGCGGCCGAAGCAAACAATACCCGGCTGACGCAAGAGTGACTCAGTGTCCCCGCCTACCGCGGCTCGGGCACGGCCACAGCAGGAGCCGTGCGTGCAAGCCGACGAGGGCGCTACCGAGCTCTGAGCGAGGTCCGTGCGGATAGTCATGCCAGATCATCAGTCAAAGTGCACAGGCCGGTGGTCCTCATATCTCGGTCATATCAAGGACAATTCACCTGTAATTGATCGCAAGTGGAGATTCCCGGCATGCTCACGTTGCACCCAACCATCGCAGCAGCACCTACCTTGAATACGGGGTGTGTGTTCGAACCGTTGACCTCGACCTTGGCGAACATCTCGCAGAGGGGCTCGAAGTTGTTACCGGGCCGCACATAGCGCAGAGCGCTCTTGATCTCCTCATTCTCGGCGTTTTCCTGCGGCGTTAGGTCACGTTAGGCCACAGCGTTAGGTCACGCGGCGATGACCTTCCGGCGATATCGCCACACGCCTGGTAAGCACCCGCAGCTCGGGTGTACGCCGCACACCGCCGCCAAATGACGGGCCGTCCGGGCGTCCCCAGTTCCTATGCTAATCAGCTCTTTCGGAATCCAGCGCTACTCGGCAAAGCCCTTTCGTGGCGCTTCTGTGTCAGTTACATAAGAAAACAGAGCGTGGTCCCGCCAGAAGCTGCACTTGAGAGAGTAGAATCACGAGGACCGTGGCACCCGCCCCAGCACCTATTACCTGCGAGCACAGAGGCCCAGCGGCGACGCTCTACACACCTGGTGACCGAACTGGTTGCAGGGGAAAGCCAGCACAGCCAGCTTCTCGGGACCGAACCGCTTGATGAGTAGGTTCATCTGGGTGTAGTCCCGAGTGGTTGTGCCTCAGAGGGAGGCGGTGTTCTGGATGAGCACCACCTTCCCCTTGTACTTGCCGAAGCCGACCTTTTGACCTGCGGAACGGCGACGGGCGGTCAAACTTTACGGGTTTCAGCGACACAGGGGCCAGGACGGGTTGACCCTAGCCTGCATGCGGGGGAGGGGGAGGGAAGAATCAAAGCGGGCAACTCTGACCTGCGAGCACGGATGGGCCAGGAGCACAAGTTGACCTTGTGAATTACGAACCAAACGATTAGCACAGGGTGGGCACGTGGATGTGGTCCGAACATGAACGCGTACTCCACGCAGTTGAGTTAACAAACAGGAAAATCCGACTGAGAAAACACAATGTAACACTACGTGTTCTCCACCTCATCTCTGTTTAGATGGGGCGGCCATGTGTTTCAACTGCCCGGCAATCCTGCTGTCGTTCACTTAACAACCTAGGCACATCCCGCTCCAGAAGAAACCGAAACTCACAACGAATGACACCATTTGCCGTGGAATTCCGAGGGTCTAGGCATTCTGAAAGACCGGCGACACCTCGTAAATCTTATCTCACCCGCGGCCTCTGAATCGTTTTACTGGCACGCAGCGTACCTGAGCCCTACCCTACTTTTGTTCCGTCTCCGCGCGAGGACCGCACCGCTCCAGATATGGCCTTATCTCCGCCCGACCCGCGCCGACCAAGGTCACGTGATAGCCGGAGCGGCGGAACGACCTCTCAGCGGCCCGGCCGCGACCCCTCTGTCAGGCGATCTTGGCACGCACGGTGATTGGGAGCGGTGAATGGGGAGGGGGCGCTCTCTGAAACAGGCAGGGCCCTTCGCCGCCACAGCCTGGTCGCCGCGGCACGCGGCGGGCTGCCGTGGCGACCGCCGGCCAACAGCGGCGCTACGACGAGCTCTGGACAGATGGCATGGGGCTCCTCCCCACCCACTAAAGCCCCTCTTAGATGGCGCAAAGCAAGTGACGGTACCACCAAAACTCAACGTCATGCCAATTAAGTGCATCTGTATGTCTCACTGCACGGCAAATTTTGGCTCAGGAAACGAGCGTAACACGCAGTCTGGAGTTGGAGTTGAGAGAAATCGAGGCTTAAAAAGAATGTCTTTCACATACGCTCTACGGACTTATCCCGATCCTGCGGCATTTATCATGCTCCTGCAATCTGAAAAAGGCTGCATCATCGTAATAAATGGAATATTTTTGGGTCTTTGCTTTTGTCGATGTTCCAATCCCAGTTCAACCGCAAATGCAAACACCCTTCGGTCAGCCGCCACAGGTTTGTGCTTCGGGGCATGTCACGTGACATGCCCCGACAGTCGGCTAAGTCAGACGTGACGGGCACCTGTACCGACAATTTCACTCCCTCGGGCTGAAAACACACAGCGGTACCAAACGAGGCCGTTTCAAGGGGTCGGCCTAACAAAAAAGTCGATAGTTTCCTGCAGCACGGATGTCTTATTTCAAAACACAGTTTTTAGTCTCAGCTGATCCCAACAGCTAGAACATCGTTTTACTTTCCTGGCAGCGCCATGGACTAAAACGCTGGCGCGACCAGAGCCCCAAACGTGGTATGTTTGCCTCCATGGGTGAGACCGCTGGGGATTTTACGATAAGTCTCCAGTTTCCAGAGAAAGCTTTCACCCTCCACATGTTCCCACAGCATGCGTATTTTCCTCACGTGTTCCCACTTGAGTGTCGTTTTCAGGTCAGGTTGTCGCCCCCCCCCCCCCCCAGACTCCAGCGTGTGAACCCTCCAATCCTGGCCTGCCCCCCCCCCCAATCTCAGACGTGGTGTCACCTGTGCTCGCCTGTCATCAGGCCTTTGGACAAATTGTTAGTTTAAGACAGCTATTAGCAAAAGGTGAGATGTTGCGTGGGGCCGTTCATAAAATACGCTAAGCATGGATGGGGCAAGGTCTTTTGGATTGCAGCCGAAATGTACTAAGGGTAGTTGCAAATCATCCCCAAATCATCCTGGAATATTTCAAGGCCTTAGAGCCGGATACACTGGCTTCCTCTAAATGCGACCATCACATACACCTTTGTGTCACACTTCTTGACCATGTATAGGCCAAACGTGAATAACCTTTTTGGAACGTTACGTATCACAGCGTAACCAGGGTGTAACCGGGGAGAGGGAGGTTTGAGAAATGACCAAAAGTGAGTGACATAGTACATGAACGGCTTCCGGGAACCACCAGGCGAGCAGGCCACAACTTCAAACGTGATTAACTTGACGATGTTGTCGTTCAGTATTTGATCAATGACGAACGCTCGGGGGAACGAAGCCCTGCCATGTCACGCCTCCCATTCCAAAGCCAGCCGCCTTTCGGAACTTTCACGCATGGTAAACCACGAAGCTGTTCAGAGGTTACTCAGCATCGCTTACAGACGTCCCAGCAGGCAAGCAAGTTACAGGTGAGCGTAAGCTACTCGCTTTCACTACGCCGCGCCAGTCGTCCGCTAAACACGACACATTCCAGTCAGCCGTCTTCGGACAGCCTGTCGCCTTTGTCCGACGAATGCCGCGTCCTCTGAAATATTCTCTGAGCTGAGCACGAGGCCATCCGATTGTGCATAGCTGACCTGCCCATCTACTGCCCTCGTGAGCTCGCGGCGCGTTCGGGAGATCATCTGTGACTAGTCATGCCTGCATACCGACCTGACGTGCGCCCGACCCCTCAGCCAGTCACCACCGCCGTCCAGGAAACGGGAAATCACCCAAGGTGACTCGGCGGACTTGGCGCTGGTCGTCGCTCGTTTACAGCTGGCCACGGCTGGGTGACGAAACCGTGCAGTCTTTCACCCGCACGTTCTCTCTCCGCGCCTTTGTGCCGGCGTAATGGACAATCGCGTGCACGGGACGGAACCGTCATGCGGACCACCGCCGCGACCTGGGCGCGGCAACAAAGCCGGGTCGGCGGCAGCCAGTGACAGGTCGGCTGACGCGAGCGCGCGTCACGCGGCGGAGCAGCACGGCACCGTCGCCGCTGGCCTGGCTCGCGGCAGCGCCCTGCAGGCCCGTGACGCCGTCAGCCGCCGTGGCATGGCGTGTCGGCGGGGAGCACGCGGGCCCGTCAGCGCGGCCGCCCCGGGTTAGCCATCATCGTCGGATCGATGGACGGGCTCGCGATGCGCGCCACTGTCCGCCTTTTTCCGTACAGCTGCTTTCGATCAAAGCAGAGGCATCTGGTGCTGACCATCTGAAGGCCGCATCGCATCATTCTGGTGCTTTGGCTTGTCGGTTTCGTCTTGTCACCTGTGTGACAGGCTTGAAAGCCGCCGTCAAACAAAGGCAACATCCGCCTCATCAGCCGATAGCCCAAGCCTCGCTGTCATGTACCGATAGGTAATCTGTTGCAGTGCCGATGCCATGAGTAAGCAGAGTCAATCCAGCCGTCGGCGGATTCCCACTTTTCAGGGGGCACGCCGCTCACTTGGGAGGCAAAACCATACGGTCGTCGCCAAGCCCGGCCGGGGGGCCCCGCAAAGTGTCCCTTCCCCCCCCCCCCCCCATTGGCGACCACCTTGATTAACCCTGCTGAAACAAGAGTCCATTTCGTTGGTCGGCACGTCGCTAAACGGTGAAAGGATTGAGCCAACCGAAAATAGCATAAAAAGATCACCAAAAACAGTAAAAACGTTTTTGAATTATTTTAACTCTATCGCGTCTTTTCTGATTGATAGGACAAGCTTCTTTTCTTTCCTTTATTCCGTACGCTGTAAAATTTATCTGCCAGAGTTGAGCAACCCGACCGGTCTCGACTGTAGCGGCCGTAAGTGCTCTATTTCATACTGCAATTGTAGCGTTGAGAAAATTGCAAAGTTTCATCCTTTATATCTGGAGGGGTGCAAGTTCCCTTTTCCAACCACAGTTTTCCATCGCTCCGTATAAACATGAAAAAGTAACTGCAGGCCTCAGCCTTCCTAAATGATTCTCCCCCACGCGGCCAAGAACCCTCGCATAGCTGATGATTGAAAGCAAAGCGAGAGCTGCATTTATGTTTGGTGTTCCAGGCCTTTTGACCTTACGAACGTAAGTACAAGTTACGCGGTGTATGGTTGTAAGTACATTAGGTATAAGATATAAAGCATAAGGCTGCACCTACGTTCTGTGTCCATGCCTTCGGCAGATAACACATCTGCACATTCAAAAGAGAAGGTCTCGGCGCCACTTGAGCGGGGGTGACGTACTAGAATTCATCTGGGGCTCCGCCATGCGAAGGGGATAAGGGATATGTCCCCAAGAGCCTTCAGGTCCCCCTCCCCAGCTTTTGACTGATGGTAGAGCTCATGTCCGCAGAGTGAAGACAGCACAGGCAATGCATCATGCACAGCACATGTGGCATCCCTCCCCGGCGGCCGCTGAATGGTGGACGACAGATCTGGCCAGCTGGCCGCGAAATCTGCCGCGTCACGCCAGGCCCGACAATAAATGGTCGCGGCCGCTCTCACAGGTCCCGCTTCCGCGCAGCGATGCTCCATCCGCGCATGGCTGCTGGCGCATCGCGGGCTCTGCCGGGGTGTCCCCATTCGGCTCCCTCACGCCTGACGAGCCCATTTCGGGTCCGGTTAGCACCAACGCTCCCTTTTCGAAGGGGGCGCGAACATTGATGACATAAGTACGGCTTTTCGTCTTCAAGGGAATGTTCCAAATTTGTATGGGGTTTTGAGCTGAAATAGCCATCTCCGAGATAATTCGGTGCAGTTCGCGGCTCTGCCCTTAAAGACCAAGGCCTTTCTAGGTTTAAGCCAGACGCATGCAAAGATGTACAGACTTGTTCGGGTAGACTTTTCCAAGGTCACCCAGGTATCTATGACATCATAATAACGTCATTCAAATCCTACCATTTCCTTACCCATGCAGCAATCAAGGCCGATAAACATATAAGATTCGAGCCGTTCAGTCTGGTGTTCGTGAGCACGATTTCCAGATATAGGCCACCAATTGGCTCTCAATGTCGTGTAAGGCACGATGACGAAATCAAACAACGACGTATTGAGGAGCATATTGAATAAAAGAGGAAATGCAATGTTTGGAGCAGCCTTTTCCACTACAAGTATA